ATTGTAACACTCTAGTCAGAGATGGAATGTTGGTTTCTTCGTGGTATGCAATGCTTTCTACGTGGAGTTATCGATTTCGAGAGTACGTATATCTTGAATGCATATATATGCCATGCATACCTACTTCAGCGGCGAAAGGGTTAAGGTCATCGTTTCTCATTTACACATATAAAGGCGAATCGATCACACCTCGCTTTATCATTGCAACAGGGAAAGTTAAGCGCGCGTTCGATCGAGTCGTGGAAATCTCGACTTTCGACCTCGCAGTGCAAATCGATAAAAGTTTCTCAATAAGGGATACGAACGTATTTCTTCTGACGTTGTTTCTCTATTTCAGTGATATTTTTTAGGGGTCAGTTTTATAGAGCCATTTTTTAGAAGCAGAGAAAATCTTGTGGACCACAAAAAATTTACAAGCGGACTGCAGGTTACTGCAACACTCTATCTCATCAAAAGATGTATTAAGAATACTAATATTAAATATTGTAATATTAAGATAGAGTGTTAGAAAATGCACAAACATTAATTTTTAAGCGACAGGAAATAGAATTATTTACATTTGTGAGGTATCAACTTCGTGAAGTATCAATGTACATTGCTTTTGGTCGAAAATTATATGTTTCCAATCAAATGACCGGAACATTGCATTTGGTAATAATACAAGGTGAGAGGGTTAACCGGGACAGCGGATGTCACGCCAGTTTCGGAGCTCTTTAAATTAGGATTTAAGCAGTTAATTGAGATGCCTGTGTTCGGTCTACGACCGGAGGGTCAATGAGAGTCGATTTCGGGCCCTCCAATCATTAGCTTCCTGTGAATTTTCAAAGAGGAAATTCGTGAAGAATAACAAGCCCAATGAAGAGCCACTTTCGACTCTGTCACTCAGTCTCCGGTGCAGGAAATGTTGGATAGATAATACAACCGCAGCCTACGTAAACGCATCCGAGTACTATCGCGTATCACCGAACTGAAACCGCAGTGAGATGTATATTTAGCCTAATCAACGATAGGACGCCTGGCTGATGAACATATCAGGTTACTGATTAAGAAAATAATTATTTACAATACATTTCTCTCAATCTTTACCGAGAAGATATTCGTATCGGATTATTGATAAACCACGAGGATTTGACATTTACGCTTTCATTGTGCGAATGAATTACGTTCGTGGAATCCTTTTCCAAAATAACAAGCGACAAATTAAAAATCCAATCGATTTCTGAGATTACGTTAATATAATTAAAAATCGATGCTTTTAATAAAGCAATAAGCAAATGACAGTTCAGGTAGAACATACCAAGAAACATACCAAGTCAAGAGAAAATCAAAATGACTTTATTTTTATGCCATGAAAGTCAAAATAATAATTTCTGGTTACAAAATTTGACCGTTTATTTGACATTAGAAATAAAAATAAAATCAGTCTGGTTTTGTTGACTTTTGTGTGCTCCGTGAGATGTTCTACAGTGTCATATAATGATAGAATAGTTATTACATCTTCGTTTGTCACTTATAAGTAAACATATAAGTGACAAATAAAGTCATGATAACATTTTTATGATATTATGATTTCTATGTTTAAATAGAAGACTGAATAATATGTAATACGTTAATTAATTCTCATTTTATTCCACGCTCTACGTAATGGTCTACTTCAACCGCAATCGATTTAGTTCTTATAGATACTGACGGATGATTTGACTTTTCCTTTCTATTTAAATATCCACGAGGAAAAAGCCTCTCGACAGTGGCACGAGAGTTTCTCTGATGCCTGCGGCGCGCACGTGCGTATCCTGCATGTGTGCTGCGATTCGTCATCCGGAAGGACCGATGATTGTTGTGCGTTCATATCGTGCGCTCGTGTCGAGAAGTCGTCCTTGTCTTTTCGCCACAAAACCGGTTACCTTTGCAACCTCGGGTCTTGATAAATCGTAGGAGTACGGCGACATATTTTCTCCGAAACGTCTGCGTTCCCTCTTCTCTTCTTCTCCTCTCTCGTCGCGATATCACCGACTCGGAATTAATATTAAATGCTTTGAAGCGAAGGGTCAGGGTTACATTTTAAACCGTCTGCAAAAAAATGAATCTTTTATTTGCGTGTTTTATGCATTCTTCATGTAAAACTTATACGCGACTGGAATAATATTTTTAAAATAATAAGATACAAGATGAGACTCTAAATTTTCTTTCAATTTGATTTTATTGACTCACTTCTTAATTTAGTTGTTCGTATTTTTTGTTCCTAAATTTCCTATGATCTTGTAACAAAGAACGAACGACGTTCTTGGAAAATCGGTAGCAAGAATGTATCTCCCATGATCGCCGCTGGCTATAACGTACGTTTGAGATTTATTAACGAAGTACGCAAGAACGAAGACGTAGTTTTCCGAAGAAGGTGCGCCGAGAAAAAAGAAAATCGCAGGGAGAATCGTGGAGAATTGCACGCTCCGGTCATTACGAAACCGCGAACGCCGAGAGATTCGTGACGTGCATTTCTTCGAGAAGAAACGCAAGCTGTGCGAAGAGGGCAGACGACCTCAGGGTCCCTACCGGGCCCCATGCCACGTCTCTCTCGTCATGGTCCTTGGTACCTACGCCCTTTGTGTCTCAGAGTAGGTAGGAATTTCGAAGTCGAACAGTGGTTTGACAACGGTCGGAGGAAATAGGGTGGGTACTCCGGGTACTCAGGTATCTCTGAAGCTATTACGAACACGACACGGAGCAATCCATTGTACTTAAATCAATGCTGCCTTGGACATAACTGACTTAAATAAATAACATACGTAAGTCTTACATTGTTCGATAGATACTTTCCATTTAGTGACACAAATCGATATAAACGTCGTTTTATCTTTTTCTTTTGGATTCCACGAGTAACAAAGTAGAGCAATATTTCTGTCGATTTGTGTCATCGAATGGAAAGCACTCAATGAAGAATGAAGCTTGGACTGTTAGAAGGTACGTATTTGAAACATATGTATGTATTTGACTATCTAGGTCTCCTGTGCAGCTATTTATAGTTTTACTATAACACTTAAAATGACAGACAGTTTCGTGGATTCCGTAATAAAGTCCGTTATCGCAAAAGGTGCGCGTGATGTGGCGATTAAGCAGCGATGATAGTGCGCAGCGGGACGTTGTCAGATTAGTTAGGAAATCTTGCGAGACGTCGCGTGAGAGGGTTCTCCTATTCTAAACCAAGAATCCGCAAAGAGATTCTAATGAAGACGTACCGCGGCGAGAGAAACCCGCGGCTCGTAAACAACAACATTTATTAACGTGATGATATCGCGTGCAGCTTAACGCATCAAAGCCGCACAAATCAGCGCAACCAATTGCATTAAGAAAACTTCAGGTTCAGCTGATAGAAAGGAAATTCGTATATAACGATTAAATTTCCTTTCGTCGTTACGCTGGACGGCGTATCATTAATAAAGCGAGCAGCAATTCCACATAAATTAGTGTGTAATTATATAAGTAAGATTAGACAGTTAGATAAGAAATGTAGACTGTATAAAAAATACAGAAAGAAAGATTTTGCTATAAAATATCTAAAAAAATTAAATGTAGATCTGAAAATAATTTTGTTTGATCATTAAAATAATTATGTAGAAAATGCTTAAGCATAATGAGCAATTTAAGAAAAAAGTTTCTAGCAACCAGCTTGGATGTCCCACATAATTTTGTTGGTCCAACAAAATTATTTTTAGATCTGCGTTTAATTAAATTTTTTATTATTTTAGCATCTGGACTTTATAGTAAAGCTGTTCCTTCTGTGTAGATTTTCTCTGATAAAAATAAAAATTAGAGTGTAAGTCGAATGTAATGGGAAAGTCCCAAGCAAAACAATAAGTTACGATAACGTCAAAATGACATTAAAATGAATTGAAAATAATTAAAGAATGACTTTTAATGATCATATTTTGGAGTCACTTTGATATCATTTTGATATCATAATGACTTGTTGTTCTGTTTGGAATAACAGAAGCGTAAACGAAACTTTTAGAAGGCGAAAATTGAAACATCAGTAAGTGTAAAAGAAATGTAAATGCTTCTTTTACATTTCATTGTTCCAATTTTCGTTTTATAGAAATTTCGTTTACGTTTCTATTACTCTCCCATTACATCCGATTTACGCTCCAATTTTTATTTTCATCAGGGTTGAATGATATCACTTTTTTCAATTGGACTATATTTTAGAAAAAATTTAATTAATCTTAATAAAATTTTTTGTAAATCACTGATTGTGTCAGTAAATTGAATCAGGTTAAATCAGTATAAATAATTTCTCGGCGATATCGGTTAGATACAAAACAAGTTCGTTCACAATCAGCGTTTGATTCGAAAGTGTTTATCGTTAATAATATTTCATTTCAATGACGACCAACTCGTGACATGAAGGAACATTTATCTTCATCTGATTACACGTGCGTGTTGTATTCCAGGCTGACTCGTAAAAATAAACAGCTAGACAAAGTACACCAATTAAGTTGATAATATTAAAATATATAACTCTAACAGTGAACAATCACAAGTATTTAAGCGAAAAAAAAATTGTGACTGTCTTTCACAAAAAAGATATTTAAATTTACATTCCAACAAAAAAGTAAAAGAAAGGAAAAGCTTAAAAAAGCTTTATTTGAAAATTTTTTATAATACAAAAATATAGACGTAAGTCTATATATTATTATGATTTATTTAACCATTATATTTCGTCTACACATTTAACGGCATTTTATTTTCTCTTATTATTGCAATATAAAATATAATAATAAAAATATATTATCTCTCGCAATAATCCTCTTAATTTAATAATTTTGACAATTTCCGATTTTAACATCCCTTTAATCTTTTTCATTATATTTTATAGTAATACATTAAAACCTCGGACAGCTAAACATCGTATCGCTGCACCGCAAGCTTCGGTCTGCTGTTATTGATATCTTTACCTTTAATCACAAAGAAGTAAAAAAAGAAGTGAAGAATGAGAAAATACTCACCTGTTGAAGGTCTGCTCGTACTGCTTGATCTCGCGGCGCGACAGCTCATGGAACTCCGTATAAACGTTCACAAACTTGTACTGCTTCTTCACCTCCTTGCCCTCCTCGAGTTCGTCGTTGATCCTCTGCCGCCTGCTGAGCAGGCTGCTGAGTTCGGCGTCCGCTGGCATGATCCTCGATCCTTCGGATCGAAACACACGTAAATGAAGAAGGACAAAGTAATTAGCGTTGAAAGCCAAGCTTTGCGGAGAGCTTGCGTAAACGAGAGCGCGGCACGCGATTGTCGCGAGTCAACGAGAGTGAACGAGAGAGTCTGTCAGGATAGACGAGTCGAGGAATACCTGATCGCAAAGAAACAATCCTCACGCTGCGGCGAGACCGCATGTACTGACGCGGCGCCGAGCGTAGGAGCAACTGCTAGCCCGGCGAGCAGGCAGTGCCGTAGTCGTCGGACACATGAATACATTTACACGAATACGTTTTCCCCTCCGGTTTTTCCTTATCTGAATTTTGAAAACGCGATAACGGTTCGTCCAACAGCTCATTAGAATAGCTCGTCTAACGCTTCAAAAAATCATTTGCCTTTATTTGGTATTTGTACCTTTACAGAAATCTAATATTGATCAAAGTTTAGTACTGGTCAATTTATTATTAAAAGACAGTAATTACCCGGGAAAAAATGTTCTATATATGTATATAGACATATTTTATATATAATTATGTATAATTGTATAAATATATGTTAATTTTTTATATAATTATTATATAATTATATATGAGAGAGAAATCTTTGTTTCCAGGGTAGTTAGTTATTTGAACTTTTGAGTACTAAAAGTACTGAATAATAGTGCCCCTAATATTTAAAATAAGTAATTAATTGCTATTTTTAGTATTGA